AGAGCCTACAGTCACCTAATGCCGGCTTCCTGGGGAGGTGGCCCTTCGCTTTGTTTTAGAGAGTGAGTAAGAGTTATGTGGCAGAGGGAGTTCCAGGAACAGCGCTGAATGAGCAAGGTGCACGTGATGGGCACAGGCAGCCACAAGACTTCAGGGTGGCGGCGGCGGGCAATCCCGGTGGCTGAGTAGTGGGAGAGAAGGGTGGAGGGGTAGGCGGGGTCAGACCACGGAGGGACCTCAGAGGTCAAGGCCAGGAACAGGACTGTCTGGAATGGTGTTCCATCAGTGGGGCTGGTCTCTAGGAAAGCATCTCAGCTTTACCCTGGAGACGCACCTTCCATAATTACCTGGAGTGTGACTCATTCACTGTTCTGTTTAACTTACTGTGGGGCTGTTTCCTTAAGTCAGTAACATCTGGCTTTGAATACCTGCGATGGGAGGTAGGCTTGTGACGAGTTATACCTGGGCAGTGCCTGCTCTCAGCCTGCTGGGAGCGAGATACAGCTGTTCTGGCCTCACATGCTTCCTTAGACAGGTGTGGGGCTGTGGTCAGATCCCAGGGTTAGGGTCTGTGATTTAGATGCTAGCTTTGCCTCCTCAACAACGAGAAATAATGATGATGTCAGTAGGTGCTACCATTGCCTGTAAGTACCAGGCACCACGCTGAGTGCTAGCCACATCATTTCTGTGACACGAGCTCCAATCTTCCCTGACCTCAGAGGGTTGTCCCGAAAGTCAAATGATGTTTCCAGGAGGTGGAACTTGACTCCTGCTATCCTGAGAGCAGGCTGGATTGAGGGACTCGCTTCCAAAGAAGAGAGTAGGGAAATGGGAAAATAGTAACCTGGCAGATGTTACCTTAGCCAGGTGTTAAAGGTTAACATCTTCACGGATGTCATGTCAATAGCACGTCCCCCCGATCTGATGAGCCAGGAAGGTTCCCCAAATCCATAACCCCTTTCTAATTATAAGAAAACATCAGACAAACCCAGATCAAAGGACATCGTACAAGACACCTAGGTAACATTTCTCAAGACTGTCAAGGTCATGAACAATAAGAAGAGACGGAGAAACCCTCAAAGACCAGAGAGACTGGGAAGACAGGGTGATTGAAGATAATATAGTATCTGAATTGGATCCTGAAACAGAAGGAGAACACTAATGGAAAAAAAAAACAAACCAAAACTGGTGAGATCTGAATTAAGTCTGGAGCTTGGTTAATAGTACTGTACCAATGTTGGTTCCTAAATTGTGACAAACATATTGTGGTCATATAAGATATTAACATGAGGGGAAGCTAGGTGAACCACGTAAGGGGGCTCTCTCTGCACTTTTCTGTAAATCTAAAATGAAAGGACTTCCCTGGTGGCGCAGTGGTTAAGAATCCGCCTGCCAATGGAGGGGACACGGGTTCGAGCCCTGGTCCGGGGAGATCCCACATGCTGCGGAGCAACTAAGCCCGAGCGCCACAACTACTGAGCCTGCGCTCTAGAGCCCGTGCTCCACAACAAGAGAAGCCACCGCAACGAAGCCCACGCACCGCAACGAAGAGTAGCCCCCGCTCACTGCAACTAGAGAAACCCCGCATGCAGCAATGAAGACCCAGTGCAGCCAAAAAAACAAAAAAAAAAAAAAAAAAAAAAAAAAAATTAAGAAAAATAAAAAATAAAATGAAAAGTTTCGGGGAGAAAAGGGATCTGCCACCCACTGGAGAGTTAGGGGAGTCCTCAGATAGTTGTATACTCTAAGTTAGGGTATAATGCCAAAATGCAGCCAAAGATTCCACTTACAAGCCCCAGGTCTGGTCTTTTTGAAGTAACAAAACATTTAAGTTATCCCTCCTGCCTGCCTTGCATTGCATTCTACGCGTGGTAATTCGTTGGTTTAGCAATCCACAACAGTTTCATGCTTATTCCAAAGAATGGAATCTGATCCTTAGTACCTGGTATTTTGCCTGTAAGTCTACTGATAAAAAGATTATTGGAAGCCAGTCACAGAATCTGAAAATAAACTCTAGTCTCTCGTTTACTATTTTAGGTCTTTCATAGAAGCCAAGGACTCACTGCAAAACATTTTTGCAAGGATGACCGCTTGTATTCCATCCAGGATCAATACATTTTTGCCTGGTTTAGGATTACCGGTAGCTTATTTCAAAGCGAAGGAAAACCAACTGAGCGTGTGTTTGCTGTCTTTAGAACAGCTGGCAAAAATATGGTATGAAAGTGTTTTCATCTTCCTATTACTCTAAATATTATTGTACAGAGCTATTATTAATGCCATTTTTTGGTGGGAAAACCTTAAAAATTGCCCCAAATATTGACATTAAGCGCATCAAACAACAGAGTGTCTTTGGTATATTAAACTTTTGGTTTTAATGTATCTGTAATTTAATTTTCTTTTAAACTATAAAATTTTGCCTTTGGAAAAACTAAAAGAATTCAAAGTTAATTTTATTAAACAAAACATAGGGACTTCTCTGGCGCTCCAGTGGTTAAGACTCCCTCTTCCATTGCAGGGGGTGTGGGGTTGATCCCTGGTCGGGGAGCTAAGATCCCACATGCCTCGCGGCCAAAAGACCAAAACATAAAACAGAAGCAACATTGTAACAAATTCAATAAAAATTTTAAAAACGGTCCCCATCAAAAAAAAAAAGTTAAAAAAAAATTAAATGGCAGTGGATTGGTGATCAGGGGCTCAGGCTCTGAGTTCAGACCCTGCTGTGTGACCTTTGGCAAGAACTTAACTCCTCTGGACCTCAGATTCCTCATCTGTAGAAAGGGGGAATACTAGTGCCTATCTTACGGAGTTGTGAAGATTAATGAGGAAATCTGTTTAAAGGACTTGGTGTTTGGGATATTGTGTCTGCTCAGTATAGTAATGCTACTCTCTAACTATTTGTACAAAGTCTTCTGTGATTGTAAAGTGACCTTCAGGAAATGAGTCCCTGTTGGAACGCTCATCTTCAAGGTCAGATGTGTAAGGGGTTCACTGATCTGTTTGGCTACTGTAAGTCACTTCCCTGGGTCTTCCTTGCTGCTGGGAAAGCTAGCTCGGGGATCTGCAAACTTTGGCTATAAAGAGCCGTAAGGTAAATATTTTCAGCTTTGCGAACATGCTGCAAGATACTCAACCCTGCCTTTATAGCGTGGATGCATTTCTGTACTGTCCATGGTCCAGTCCCGGACCTTTGACTTCATTCTTCCTCCTGCCAACCTCCCACTTGCCCCTTGAATTTGATGCCTCAGATACAGCTCCGTGGGGCTTGATTCTGGCCCTCCAGGGAAGTCCCTGCATCCAGCAGACCTCACCCCCGACCCCCAGAAGAAGAGATTAGGAAGTCAACAGAAACAGGAAGTCACCTGCTGCCTAAAAGGACTTTAAGATGCTGAAGACTTTGCAAAGCCCAGGTGGCCTCAGCTGAAAACTGAGGCCACGTGTCAGAAAGCGGGTTGGAAATCTTCCAATGCAGAGAAAGCTCCAAAGGGGACACCCCTGACAAGAGCAGGCAACAGTCGCACCACCAGCAAAAACAGTGCTCCGGAAAGAGGGAGGAATCAGGAAGAAGGAAGATGCCCAAGTGTGGGGCCAGGCAAGGAGAAAATGCAAAACCTGCGGCTCAGGTCACAGGGAGGCACCTGCCCTGCAGGTGGAGGGACAGCTCTCACGGCACAGCCCATCCTGGGGCCAGTTCTCTACTGCACACTCCCCAGTGATTCTCATTGGGGAGAATCCTAGCCCCCAGGGGACATTTGGCGACATCTAGAGACATTTTTGGGTTTTTTTTTTTTTTTTTTTTTTTTTTTTGTTCATAACGTTCTCATGAACATGTTTTCAAGGTTCTAGTCAGTTATAACATTATATAAACATTCAACTTCTCTTTTTTAAAAGTCCCAGTTACATTTTTCATTTTCATACCTCATTTTGGAGAGGTACCCACATCTCACCTAAGGAAGCCATCGTGAACTTGAGTTTCAGAAAAAGGAAACACCCCCCCACACACACACACACACACTTTTTATGAAGACATTTTAGATGACCCCCAAATCCTACAACTGCCTTATTAGAGAGCTGTCTATAATAGGAGTTCCAAATGAAAGGCAGAAGATTACCATCATTTTTTCAGAATTTGGGAAACCACCACTCTTGGTGGATTTCCAGCCCCAATGAGCACATGTAAATATAAAGTAATTCACCATTTCTCAAGGATACTATTTCCTATGGACATTGGTCTGGGGGAACACAAAGTCACTTCCCGGACCGGGGCACGAACCAGCGTCCCCTGCGTCGGCAGGCGGACTCTCAACCACTGCGCCACCAGGGAAGCCCTCTAGAGACATTTTTGGTTGTCATGACTCATGGCATGGGGGTGTAATGTGTATCTAGTAGGTGGAGACCAGGGATGCCGGTCACAAAACAGCTCCCCCTTCCCCCAACAAAGAATTACTAGGCCTCAAATAGTAATTGGGCCAAGGTTGAGGAACCCTGCACTAGCCTGAATTTGCAACTAACATGCAGTTGCTGGTGCCTCCTCTCTCTCCCTTACAAAGCCCGATTTGGTTTCAAAAAGGTGATACGCTAAATCTCAGAAAAGGCCAGAGTCATCTCCCTCCAAGGCCTCTGGAACCCAGTACTTTTTCCTGAGCAGACACCATTACCCCCCAGACAGCCCCGGGAGGCAGGAAATTGCCTGTTATGGGCTGATCTTGCCTCCCCACACCGACCCCAATTCATATGTTACAGTCCTAACCCCCCTCAGTACATCAGAAGGTGGCCGTATTTGGAAATAGGGTCATTGCCATTTTATTTAGTTCAATGAGATCGTACTATGGTAGGGTCGGCCCCTAATACAGTGTGACTGGCATCCTTAGGAAAGGGGGAATTTCAGACGTAGACAGGCATACAGGGACAATGCCATGTGAAGATTATAGTTCTGCTGGCACAAGCCACCAGAATCCCAGAAGCCAGGAGAGACACCTGGGGTGGACCCTTCCCTAGCACCTTCAGAGGGAGCCTGGCCCTGCTGACACCTTGATGTCGAACTTCTTCAGAACTGTGAGACAATGCATTTCTGTGGTTTAAGCCAACCAGATGGTGTTACTTTGTTACGCAGCCCTAGCTAACTAATATACTGCCCGAGTCTGGATTTTGCCAAAGGATTTTTGCAACGACGAAAGCTGAGACTCAAAGGGAATTTGGCGGCGGGGGGGCGGGGGCAAGCTAACCAAATGGTCACTGCTCTTAGGGATGGATCCCTGGTGACATCCAGGAAGCCAGCGTTGGTTCGAGCTTAGAAAGGGTGAAATAGGACGAGGATGCAAAGAGAGAAGGAGACCATGAGAACGATTTAGGGGAAGTGAAGGAGGGGAAGTGGCTGCCATCCAGGGGGATGGGCTGGGCCACCAGACTTACCAGAGCTCAGAAGAGGTTTGCCACACAGCGGGCAGCTGGAGTGGCCAGAGAAGTTTCCTTGAGCCAGCTGGTGCCCGTTGACACATTCTTTCCGCTCACGAGCATCCTGACATTTGTCTTTCAGAAGCACTGGGCTCTTCCCCTGTTGGGGACAGAGGTGGGCCTTAGAATGCCCTGTGCATCCAGTCTCGCCTCGAATCATAGAGATCTGGAGCCAGGGGCACCCTGACAAGCAGCAGAGGGCAGAGGGGGGTCCCCCCACCCCCGGCCCAGCCCCCTGACCTCCTTCTGCCTGGTGACACGACATCGGAGGGAACTCAGTCTGCGCCTCACCCTGGCACTCCTGTCACTTCTCTCCATCTTCCCCGCTCTGTCCTCGCTCCTGAGGGGCAGAAAATTTGGTGAGGAGAGCGCAGCAGACCCAGAAGGCCCTTCTGAGCCAGTCCTGCAGGTCGCTTCTGGGATCCACCTGGAATCTGCCTCCCTGAGGCCCCTTCATCCTGTTTCACCCCTGCTGTGGTCCCTAACTCTCTCCCTCCTGCTCTCACCCACTCATTCACTGAACAAACATTTACAGAGGTTTGCAAATTTCAGGAGCCTTGGGCACCAGGTCTGCAGCGGGGAAGGTGGCATGGTCTCCAACCTGAGGTCCCTCGATGGGCCTTGTCCATCTCAGTGTCCTCCCTCTGGCCCACGCCCCCCTCCCCTCTCATCATCAGCCTAAAATCCTGCCCATTCTTCCTGTGGGATATCTGTCAAACCCGGCTTCCCTCTTCCCATCCAATGCTCCAGCCCCAGATCGTGCCTCTCCTGGATGACTGGCACACCCTCATTTAATAAATATGTATTAAGTCATTGACAAAGAAACCCAGCCCCTGCAGAACCTAGTCCCTGGAGGGAGATTCCGTACCTCCAGTCTGTACCCCTCAGTGCTCACCATCATCGCTCACCACAGAGCTGTGCTCCTTTGCTTCCCAGGTGTGATCTGGCCTCTGCTGACTCCCCCCCCCTCCCCTCCTCCCAGCCCCACCCCGACACCGTTCCTGAGGAAGGCACCGATTTCTTTTCCCCATCCTCATTTCTTCGTATTGGTGAACTCCTACTGTTCCATCGGAATCCAGCTCAAGCTGTCACCTCCTCCAAGAAGCCCTCCTCTGCCCTCCCAGGGCATATGAGGAGCCCCCCCTACCACCCCCACCATTGCCCTGACGGTTCCAGTGAGAGGACGGGGCCCCCAGCTCAGGGCCCACAGTAAACCTCTTGTGGGAATCTAGTGGCAGCCCGCCAGCAGCTCTGCGTACTCACTCGGACAGGAACTCAAACCAGGTGAGGTTTGAGTGGGCTCCTCCGGGGCTGACGGACAAGCGAGCCCTCTCCCGGGCCCTGCAGGATCAGAGGGGACAGACACAGCAGCCCTTCCTTCCTCCCGCAGATGCCCCCTCTCGTGCCCCTCTCCCTCTGGGCTCCTGTGGATAGGTGTGCCCCCCGTGCCGTGTCTGAGATCCCACCCTCCCTCCACATGTGGGCTTGTGTACGTGGTCATTGCGAGGGGTTTTCCAGCAGAGGGTGATAACAGGTCTTGGTCAAACAAAATCATCATGTCAGAAAGTTTTTCTAACAGATGGCAGTATTCTGGGATAGAGGTACGTTTTCCCATTTGGACAAAGGTAGTGCATGGACTGGTGGCGGCTTGCTTCTGCACCCTGCCCTTCCCCCCACCTGGGCATCCTCCCACCTCTCCCGTCACTGTTTTCCTCCCATTTCTCCTTGTCTTCACACCATGCCCGTTCACTCCTATACCTGTCCCCCTACGCTTTCCCCCTTCACCTGTCCTCCGCATCTGTCCTCACATACCTGTTGCCTCACACCTAGCCCCCTTTCCACCTACCCATGGTACTGTCGGAGCTCTTGAAGCACCTGCTGGACAATTAGCCTGCAATGGCAGATAGAAACAGCCCACGGCTGCCCCACGTGGCAGACATTCCCCAAGGCGAGCTGTGATTGCCCGACCCGGTCCAGGGTCCTGATGCAGCCCCTAAACTGGATCCCCAGCCCCTCCCCATGCAGTCGAGAACCTTTCTGAGGGGCCTGGGTCCCTCTCCCGGGGGAAGGATGGTGCGGTGGAGAAGGATCGAGATTATTATAGGGGGACAGTGGCTGGCCACTTACAGGCAGTGATGCTACACCCTGCATCCCTCCCCCCCAAGCCTTGACTCCTTGGCTGTCCAGGGGGTCCCTCCCTGACCCAGGGGCGGACACTCACACATGATCTGGCTCCACGTGGTCCTTTTCCAGGCACTCCAGCACCGGTGGATCCAGGCCTGGGATCAGCCCCCACCCCAAGAGGCACAGGCGTGAAGGGGGCCCTGGGGAAGGACCAGCCCTGCATGGCGCCCCCTGAACCCACCCCTGCGGACATGGAGACTGTCCAGATGTGGCTTGCCACTCTCGGGGAGAAGAGGTGAAAGGACGGCAGAGAGCCAGGGATGGAAGTGTCCCCGGCGTGTCGTGAGGGCTTACGACTGGCTAAACGCTTTACACATATGCGGTCAGTGAACCCTCCAAGCGACCCTAAGGAGATACAGTAATTGTTCCATTCTCCGTGAGAAGGCTAGGGAGGCTTAGAGACCTGTTAGAAAGTGGTAGATTCCGGTTTGGCCTGTAGGTCTGTCTGACACCAGAGGGACACAAGCTCTTCAGATAGAGATTCAGAGACAAAGAAGGAGATAAAGAAAGAGACAGAGTCAGAGGGAAAAGAGGGAGCCCTGTGGGTCATTGCAGTGTTGTGTCCACCTTGGCTGGAGGATCCCTGGGGGGGTGGGGTAGGGGTGGGGGAAGGGCAGATGATGCAGGAATCCTCCCCACCCCCTCAGCATTCTGCCCAGTTCCTGTCCAGGGGACCCTAAGCCCCCTCCACCAGCCCCATCCAGGGGACCCTCCAGCAGAAACCCCCTACTCCACTTGGTTTGAATGAAAGAAACCCCCAGGCTGGGCTACCTTGAACCGCTGGAGCGGGCACTTCCAAAGCCGGAAAGATTTCCAGGGAGCTGATCTCATCGAAGGACACGGGAACCGACCGTGACCGCACTCTTTTTTCGGGGCTGTCACATTCCTGCAGGGAATAAGCATCTCTGCTCGCTAGGCCTGGAGACAGCCCAGGGCTGGAGCTCTGGAATTCTGAGCCACAAATTCCAGCCGTGGCCAGTAATTTCCCCCCAGGTCATGGTCATGGGCAAAGATGCCCCAGGTAGAGGCAACAGCTCCGAGCATGCATTCCCCAGGTTTGGGCTAAAATCCCAGACCTCAGATGAGCCCTCCCTACTTCCAAACGCCAGTTACAGGCAGCACCTCCTTCCAGCTGCAAAGATGCGGAGACATGCCTCCGCTCCCCAGCCCAGGGGTGCACTTATGGCCAAGGATCCCAGCCCAGCAAAGGACCTTCAGGTCTGGGCTGCAATCTCAGGACCCAACGATTCCCCAGTCACGGGCTATACCTGCCATGATAAAGCAGTCCCCCCAGCTATGGGCAAGGCACTCCTTGGAACCTGCAGAGACAGTGCCTGGGCCCACAGGTGTGTTATCATCCGGGGTGGCTGCAGGTTGCACCCACCTTGTTTGGTGCCTCTGGGGGGGTTCCCCTCCCAGACAGACACCCTTGGGTCCAGGCCTGCAGGCCCTCTCCTGGCAGGTTCAGAGCAAGGCTGGCCAGTGTCCGAGGGAGACAGGGCCCCTCATTTGCAGCTGAGGCTTCAAGGCTGAGCCTGGTGGAGGAAGGGAGGGAATCGGGTCTCTTCCACCTGGTTGCTGCCCCAGCTCCAGCATGTGAGGCATGGGGGCCTGGAGGGAACCCATGGGTAGCCCTCTGGGGGGGACAGGGCACGGAGAGGGGTCCAGCTCTCCCAGTACCAGAGAGGTGGGTGGGGAGTCTGGCTGGGGAATTTGATGCTGAAGTTCCATCTGCATCGCGGGCCCACTGTTTTTTGTGTTTTGGGTTTTTTTTTTACCTTTTTTTTGGCCCAGCGGCATGTGGTATTAACTTAGTTCCCCGACCAGGGATCAAACCCATGCCCCTGGATTGGAAGCTCGGAGTCTTAACCACTGGACCACCAGGGAAGTCCTCCCTCCCACTGTTTTTTTTTTCCACAGACTGGACTTCTATCTGGGGGGAACTGTGAGGGGTGGAGGGGGCAGCTAAAGCACCCCTCTCTACTGTTTGGGGCTGCCACTGTGGTTTGTGGGTGGCACTGAGCACGTATCTGTGTTTTGATCACAAGTGCATCTGTGGCTTTGTGCACGCATGTGCAAGTGACATGTTTATGCGTCCCTGGGTTTCAGCAGGGAGAGGATGCGTGCCTGCGTGTTGAGCGTGGGCGTGTACACCCAGGGTGCACGGGAGGGTGTGCACATCTAGGTCTGAGCCTGCCGGCCGGGTTCACACAGTTCCAGTCTGGGCTGGTGCACGCTCCTGCAGCGTGTGCGTGCTTACCCACGCACACGGATTCATGTGCCCACGTGGGCTCTGTGCGCAGGCCTGCATCTCCGGAGAGGGCCTTTGGGGCTGCCTTCTGACAGTGCAGACACCTCTGGTGGCCCTTGAGCTAGATGACTGAGAGGCAGGGGTGCAGTGTAGCCTGGCCGCCCTGGGGGTGTGTCCCAGAAGGCGTTGGGGGTGGGGTGGGGCGGGACTGACCTCTGCCAGGTCTCAGAGCAGCTCCGCGACCTCTCCCAGCTGCGTCTTCGAGGCAGGGCCTGGGACCCTGCCAGGCTGGAGAAGGGCGAGTCTTCTCCGGCTTCTTCGCTAGGGGGCCCACTGCCCCTGGCCCCCCTAGGCTGGCTTTGTGAAGGGACCTCAAGGCCCAGGTCCTGGATATACTCACTGCCCTGAAGGTCCCCCAAGTCCAGACTGAAGTCTTCGGAGCTCTCGCCATTGCCGAGCAGCCCTGGAATTCCATCCTCCTGGAGATGGATGGGGAAAAGGCATTGACCGAGGGCAGCAGAGGCCCCCAACTCGCAGACCCTGCCCATGCCCCTCCCGTCCAACCTGGGTTCAGCACCCATCGAGTGGCAGGTGGGGTAGAATGGGGGTGGTCCCCTCAGTGTAATGTCTAACCCAGGCCTTCAAGCCTTTATCCCCCCAAAAGGGGCCAGAAATCTGGGCTGGCAAACCTGATTTCACCTCTCTTACTGAATTTCTGTCTGATGGTCTTATGAAACAGACAAAATAACCTCTGTCCTGTCGGCTCACCCAGCTTGTTTTAAGCCTCACGTAAGATCATGCCTGTGAACGCAATTTGTAAAAGCGCTGCACGGAGGTAAATTACCCTTGGTGCTACTGCTACTGCTGGAATTTCAGGCAGTGTCAGGGCTCGTAGACTTTCTTTTTTTTTTTTTTTTTTTTTTGCCGCGTTGAGTGGTGAATAGGTTTCCTACATTCTTACAAATATCTGGCATTATCCAACTTCATATTTTTGCCGGGCTAATTAGTATAAATTAATATCTCATTGTTGTTTTCATTTGCATTGATTACTAATTATATGAAGCTTCACTTCCTATACATTGCCCAGTGTTACATGATTAGCTTCTGGGCTGGCTATAAATGTCCTATTCCTATCCTTTCCCCATTTTTCTACTGGGGCTTGTCTTTTTTTTTTTTTTTTTTTTTTTTTGGCCGCACTGCGTGGCATGCACTATCTTCATTCCCCCGTCCGGGATCGGACCCGCACCCCCTGCAGTGGAAGCGCGGAGTCTTAACCACTGAACTACCAGGGAAGTCCCAAGGGGCTCCTAGTCTTTTCCTGGGGCTGCTTAGGATGTGTCCTCATGTGTCTCCTGTACCCTAAGTTTCTCTCCCAGGCCTAGGGTGAGGCAAGTGAGGCACTCACCTCGGACACAAAATTGTAGGGGGTGCCCCAAAACTCAGGAATAAAGAAAATCATACTTTAATATAATATTTTAAAAAAGAATACAGTGCAAAGAGTTCCATGATGAGCAAATTATCAAAATGTTAAGACTTGACAGTTTCGGACCTCGCACCTCGCTTGCCTCCCCCTATTTCCGGCCCTGCTCCGTCCTACCGGAGGGTAGCCTGGAACCTCTGCGCTCCTAAATCCCCTGCAATAACTTCCGCTCCCGGACAGCAGAAGCCTGAGCTCGTGAGCACAATGCAAAGGGCTCCAGGGTAGGCTGCCTCCCGCTTCTGGCCCGTCTGCAGCCTCACGTCGCAACCCACCCATGAGGCATCGATGTGCCAGGCGCTGTTAGACACGGAAGATACACAGGGGTGGACGACGATTGCCACATCCACCAAAGCAGCAACCAATCTGCACCCAGAACTACACGGGTGTTAGCCCTAATTCCACCGCATCTCCACCAGGGGGCGCTGTTGTCCCGCTTTCCAGATCAGGAGACAGGCTCAGGGAGGAGAAAGGACCACACAGTCCTGGGCCACACAGTCAGTAAACCGCAGAGCCAGACCCAAAATCAGATCTGTCTGGATCCAAAGCTCGATCCTCTTTCTTACCCTTGTTACTCTTCTATTTCTTTTTCCTCTCTCTCCCTCCCAGTCATTCTATTTGTCATTCCCCCCCCCCCACCCCGCAGCCAGAGCACCTGCTTTTTCCTCTCCTTGGAGAACCTCTTCTCCCAAGCCACCCAGAGGCAGCCTGGTGAACTCCTATTCACCCGTCAAAACCCAGCTTGGGCATGCCCTCCAGGCTGCCTTCCTGACTCCTCCAGTCTAAATAAGGTGTCCCTCCTTTGGGCTGTCAGGATCTGCAGGACAGGGACTGTCCTTTTCCAGGCCTTTGTTAGCACTGTCCTCAGACAGGGTTTTGTGGGTAGGTGGGGAGTCCTCTACAAGTGCTCCATGCAAAACCAACCCTGAGATGTGACCCCAGACATCTATGTGAGCTCAGGCAGCCCTTGATGGACTGTCCCAACTGGTGGCCTGAAGGGCCCACTGAGCAGACCTGGCCCCCTTCATGAGCTCTATAAGAGGCCCCAGGATAGGACTGCCAGATAAAAGCCAGGACGCCCAGTGAAATTCCAATTTCATATAAACAACGAATTTTTTTCTAGTGTAAGTAGATTCCAAACATTACAATATTCAAGTCTAACTGCTCATCCTTTAATTTTATCTGCTCAATATTGCAATCCTGTTTATCCCTGGACCATTTGGCCGGTCATGGCCAGTCTTTACTAGGGGAGGGGTAACAGGAAGATCCCTGCTAACACTTGGTGTGGGGAATTTTCAGAGAAGCAGCCAATTGAAAGTGGAAAACACCTGCCAGCCAAGAGCCACGCTCTTGGTCGGCTGCGGACACAGGTGGCAGTGTCCACACCTGCCGTGGAATGAGGGTGGAAGAGCTATGCAGGGTCTGGCTTTTTCTCTCACCTGCCCCACTTGGAGCTTTCTACAGTTTTGACACCTTCCTTCTTTTTTAAAATCGTAGTAAAGTATACATAACATAGAATTCACCATTTTAACCAAGTTTAAGTATACAACTCAGTGGCATTAAGTACATTTACACTATTGTGCAATCGTCACCACTGTCCATCTCCAGAACTTTTTTTCATCTTCCTCCAAAGAAGGTTTGTACCCATTAAACTGTAACTCCCCATTCTCACCTCCTTGAGCCCCTGGTCACCTCGACTCTACTGTGTCTTATTGAATTTGCCTATTCTAGGGACTTCGTATAAGTGTAATCATACAATATTTGTCCTCTTGTGTCTAGTTTATTTCACTTAGCATAATGTTTTCATATGTTTATTTCACTTAGCATAATGTTTTCATATGTTTTCAAGTTCATCCATATTTTAGCATGGGTCAGAATTTCCTTCCTTTTAAAGGCTAACATTCCATGGTATGCATGGACCATATTGTATGGATATAAACAAAACTACATTTTGTTTATCCATTCAGTCTTTGATGGACATTGGGGTTGCTTCCACCTTTTGGTTCTTGTGGATTATGCTGCTATGAATATGGGATGTACAATGTCTGTCTGAGTCCCTGCTTTCACCTCTTTTGGGTAGATCTGCAGAAGTGGGGTTGCTGGATCGTACGGCAATTCTCTGATTGGCTTTTTGAGCCCCGCCCATACTGTTTTCCATGGTCTTGAATCTTTCCTTTGCACCCACTGATCTTGCTTTTTTAGGGGGGGTGCTGCACTGCGTGGCATGTGGGATCTTAGTTCCCCGACCAGGGATCGAACCCATGTCCCCTGCAATGGAAGTGCAGAGTCTTAACCACTGGACCGCCAGGGAAGTGCCTGCACCCACTGATCTTTCTCCCCCCAACCTCCCTGGCTGCTTCGTCTCTGCCTGCTGCTTCCTCCCTGTATCTTTCATATACCAGGGTCCCTATTCTTCAGTCTCCGTCCAAAAAACCCACACCTCTGGCCCTGGCTCGTCCAGGTTCCCCTGGTTCTCCTATGACTTCAGTGGCAGCCTTCCCGATATCACTCCAATCCCATCCCTGGTGCCTTGGTAACCTCTGCCAACTCCTGTCTCCTCTGCCACGGCCCCAAAAGTTTCCTTGCCTCTCTGGTTTTCATCCTCCTGTAAATATAAATACATCAGGACAGCCTCTTGGCCTGGGCCGGGCCCTCCCCACTCCCTCTCCTATCTGGCCTCCCTCACAGGAGGCAGAAGTGGGAACCTCGCCAGAGCTTTGGGTGGAAGGGGATGGTGGGCAGCTGTGGCAGGTACAGAGATGGAGGGGGGAGGGAGGGGGCTTTGTCCTTTGCTGGGGAACTTGTATCTTTCCTCCAACATTTCCTGGGTCAGAAATGGGAGCTGGCCCACTGAGGGCCTTCCCAGGCATCTCCCTAAACATTTGTATGCTGGCCCTGATGCCCCAGAGAGGATACAGTAAATCCAGGTTCCCGCTCCCGGAACCCTGGGGAACCTTGAGGGATGGGTCCCCCCTCAATGGCAGACCCAGAGACGAGATGTCCCAGGAATCCCACTCTACCAAAGGGCTTGCTGCGTGCAGATTGAGATAGTACATGGATCGACGTTTTTAAAAAATGTAAACAGTTATTTATCTCCTTGTATATTAAGAAAAAATAGCACACCAAAGCAACTTCAAGCATATCATTTCTCTGGTTCCATTTCATCGTGTAAAAAGGGAACTGACTTCAAACAAAAGAGCAAATAAATAACAGAGACAGACAGTTTTCGGATGGCTGGAATGATAGAAAGGCCTTAGTCAAGGTTTGCATCCCTCGCGTGTCTTTTATTAGCTCAGTGTGACCTCAGGCAAGTTTCTAACCCTCTCTGGGCCTCAGTCTTCTCATCTCTAAAATGGGCGTGATGCTGCCTTCTTGTAGGATTGCTGGGCAGGTAGAATGAGATGATGCTTACACATTGCAAGCCCTCGATCAAAGGAAGTAGATATTGGTTGTTGCAACCATGGTTATTGTTTTTATACTTCAGGAGTCAGGGCCCTTCCTCTGGGCAAATTGATGACCCTGCCAGATGGAGCTAATTGGAGTAGACTGACAACTAAATCCAGCGATTATAATCAAGGATGAGTGAATGTTCTAGAAAATGGGCTGGAGAAGAACTGAAGGGGGGCCAGCTGACCCTGTTTGAAGGGACAGGAATTCTGGTTTGGAGTTATACTTAGAAAAGCCCTTTTTTGTTATTATTATTTTAAACTTAAATTTAATTTTTTTTTAAGTTTGAAAAGTAAGATTTATTCTAAGCCAGATCATATAGAAAATTCCTTTTTTAAAAAAGGACAAACCCTGGGGTAATCATTGGTGTGCAAAATCTACTAAGGACAACTCAACTAGGACAGGTTAGACCATCTTTAGACAGTTTCCGTAACAAAATAAACCCCCCAAACCCTACTTCCAACCACATAAAATAGTGTCTATGTGACATGTAAATGATTTCTTGAGCTGGCTATATAGGTCAAGTTGCATATATTTTAAAATAATTTACATCTTATCAGTATATATATCTTTTTCAATGAAAAGTCCTACTGAATGTTTTTAGAAAAAGACAGAAAGAAGGAAAGAAAGGAAGAAGAAGGGAAGAAAGAAAGGAAGGAAGGAAGAAATCAGGGAGGGTTTCCTGGAGGAAGTGACAGTGAGGGAAGCCCTGAGGAATGAGTAGGAGTTAGCTAGGTAGAGGCTCTGGGTGAGGGCATTCCAGGCGTTAAGAGAACAGGATGTTCAGAAGCCTGCTGGCTTGAGAGCTCACGGTGCTTCCCCGCCAAACTGGCAAGATTTCCTAATGGCTGAAGGGGTTTGTGTTGGGGAGGGAATGGGGTTGGATCAGCAGGCCTGGTAGGCCAAGGAAGGATTTAATCTCTAAGTTCCAAACAATGGCGGTATGGAGGCCAGGGGGCTGTGATTTGCCTTCAGAAAGATTATGCAAGTTGCAGAGCCCAGATAGGCTTGGACAGGGGCAGGGCTGTTGGAGCAGTGAAGACACTTGTGCAAATCACCTGGGTGAGCAATTACAGTGGCCTCCACCAGGGCAATGGAGAAGGAAGGAGAGACATGGACAGAATTGAGGGTTGTACAGGTGAAGTGCTCACAGGGCTTGGGGAGGGAAGGGCAAGGATGTTGCCTTCTGCTGTTTCCAGCTCCAGTGACCAACTAGATAAGGACACGGCTGCGGGTGGCGGGGCTTATTTGGTGGTGGTGGGGTAGAGCCTCCCCGTAGAGGGCTCCTTGCTTCTCCAGGTACATGCTTCCTCCATTGCCATCCTATCTGCCCAACTGCCTGCAGCCCAGGGTTCCCATTCCAAGAGGTCCAGAGCCCTGGAAGGATCCAGAGCTGAACTTAAGTCCTGGTCCTGTCTTCATTTACCCTGGACTCTCCCTGACACCTAGGCCAATTCTTTCCCTGCTTGGACCCCAGTATGCTCTTCTGTAAAATGACAGGGGCAGATACACAGAATTTCCTACATATGGTTTGACTGTAATGGACCCTCCTTCCTTAGTGTGGTGGGTGTTATAAAATGCCACCCAGACCCCCCCTTCAGTGAGGATGGGCTGCCCCAGATGCTGGAGGAGGGCTGCCAGCAGATGGCTGTCAGCTCTCAGTCTCCTTCTGGGAAGTCACATCCCTTCCTGGGCAGTCCACAGGCCACGACTGATTGATGTGGGGACGTAATGGCTTGGCCACCTCAGCCTGATTTAGAACCACTCTGCAGGGCTGTTCTAGCTCAGAGGTCCCCATGGGAGCTTTTTCTTCCTTTCTCATTGATTGTTCTACCCACCCATGCACCCATCTAGTGACCCTTCCCTCCTCCCTCCCTCCCTTCCCTCCATTCTTTCATCCATCCATCTCTTTTGTCAATCCTTCCTTCCTTCCATCCATCCATCAGCCCTCCCCTCTACTCATCCCACCCTCCCTCTTCTTGTTCCAGAAAGGATTCATTTCCTCATCTGTAGAATGGGATAATAACTACTCTGCCATGTTTTGATGAGAGTTCCCTGAAATAATGCACACAAAGTTCCTGCAGGTGCTAAAAATGTGTACTTGCTGCCACAGGCGTCATCAGCTCCTGCCCGTCTCAGCAGTCAGATACATGCCTGCTCATCCTCCATGGCGGAGAAGTCTGGGTCCTCAGGCCTCCAGGGTCCACCGCTGCTCTTGGTGGCTGAGTCTGCAGCTCCAGAGTCAAAGGGCTGGACATATGGCTTGGGCTCAGAGCCTGTGGGGAAGGGAGGGACAAGGTGTCATGGCTGAGTGGGAGGCCTGAAGAGTCAGGGCCTGAGTGCTGCATCTGGGCCTCAGTTTTCTCATCCGTAAAATGGGATGGCAGGGGAGGATGGTCCCAATGATCTTTTTTTTTTTTTGGCCACACCCTGTGGCTTGTGGGCTCTTAGCTCCCTGACCAGGGATCGAATCCAGGCCCTCGGCAGTGAAAGAGTGAGTCCTAACCACTGGACCGCCAGGGAATTCCCTCTTTAAGCTAACATACACAACACCACTCGACACCACTCATGCTGAGCCTGGGACAGGTATTTCTATTCAATCCCAGGGCTCTTTCTTCCTGAGCCATGGTCCCCTCGGAATGCTTCCCACTGCATCATTTTTGGAAGCCATCTCCAGCTGATACGAGTTAGCTCGTGAGATGAAATCGATTTGTCATGCCTGCTCTAGCAAAAAGCCCTCATTTGCTACAATGGGTCCCTAAGACCAACTGCAAGTACCCAGTGCCCACATTTAGAGGGTCTCTAATGGTAGAACTTCAGGCTGTCTCTGTCCCTATATTGTACTTTGAGTTCCAGGGACCCCTGGGTGGCATGGTATAGAGGAGAAAACAAGGGGTTTGGGGTCAACCAGACTGTGTCCTTGCCTGGACCTGCCCCTAATGGCTGCACACCTTTGGGGAAGTCGCCTCTCTGCGCCTCAGTTTCCTCACCTGGAAGGTGGGTGTGATGGTGCCCACCTTTCAGGGCCCGATCCTGGGGTGCTTGGTCACCTTCCTTGCCCTCCAGGTCAGGAGGGTGCCCTCGCTTGATCTTGGGTGTTGGATGGAGCCTTTTGCCGAGGGAGAAACAGGCACCCCTGACCCTCTCCCGCTGCCCCTTACACTGCAGCTAGAGCACATCACCCCTGCGTATACGAATCCCCACGGAGGTTACCCACCGCCTGCAGGAGGAAGGTCAAATGTCTTGGTCCAGCCACTGGTGCCCACCAGGATCTTCCTTCTGTGCCTTGTCCCTGCCGCAGCAGGACCCACTGCCTAAGAGCCCCCCATTCCTGTTGTAGGGCTGCCTGCCTAAAGACCTCATCCTATTCACTCCAGAAATCTTCGTCCACCCCCCATCTACGGTGCCTCTCTCCTGTGCACTGCATCGCACTGCATTGTGTTGTGCTGCACTGCACTGCATTGCCTTGGCATCTGGACTCCCTTCACTCCTCCACACCCCCTGCAAAAACATCCTGGGTCCTGCTGCAACCAGGGAGCTGAGGGGAGAGTGCCTGGAGGTGAGGCTGGAGGATATGGGTGAAGGTGGGGGCGAGGAATCCAATGGAGGTGATACCCAGAGAGACTGACCAGCACGTTTGCGGTAAGAGCGATAGCAGCTTCAGGAAGGGCCAAGGTGGGGGTGGGAAGAGGGATGGCGATGCCTTTGGAGAGTGGCAGTTAGATCCTCATCCGTTCCTTAGCTTGGGTACCCTGTGGCTGGGTGACCCCATGTCTCAGCTTGCTGGGGACAGTCCTGGTTTATGCTGAGTTAAGTAATGATTAACAGTAGCCCACTTTCACCCTCCAAAGGGTACAGGTGGGGTGATCTATTTGGTGGCCACTCTGCCTATAACCATTGCAGCTGGCAGAGAGGAAGGGGTGATGCTGTCCTTTTCTATCCCAACATGGGGTGAGCTGTCTGTACCCACTTATGTTCCCTTTCCTCCCAGCTGTGTAAGTACAAACACTGCCCCAAGGTTTGGGGGTGCTGACAGTTGTATAATTTGGGGAGCCTTCTTTAAGAAAACGAATACAAAATTGTGAATGCAAAATTGCTGGGGCTTTTGGAAGGTAGCAAGAACAGCAGAAAATAGCTAAGGCAGAAATAAACACATTTCATAAACAGATGAACGAAAAGGTATCACATGGGCATAAAAAACTCAAGGAGTCTGGAAAACATTTTGGCAATTCTTCAAAAAGTTAAGCATAGAGTTGCCATATGACCCAGCCATTCCACTCCTAGGTCTATACCCAAGAGAATGGAAAACATAGATCCACCCAAAAACTTGTACATGGCAGTTCATGGCAGTATTATTCTCAATAGCCAAAAGGTGGAAACAGCCCAAATGTCCATAAACAGATGAATGGATACACAAAATGTGGTCCATCCATACAATGGAATATTATTCAGTCATAATAAGGAATGGAGTTCTGGGAGTTCCCTGGCTGTCCAGTGGTTAGGACTTGTGCTTTCACTGCCAAAGGCCTGGGGTTCAATCCCTGGTTGGGGAACTAAGATCCCACAAGCTGCACAGCACAGCAAAAAAAAAAAAAAAAAAAAAAAAGGAATGGAGTTCTGGGAGTTCCCTGGCTGTCCAGTGGTTAGGACTTGTGCTTTCACTGCCAAAGGCCTGGTGTTCAATCCCTGGTTGGGGAACTAAGATCCCACAAGCTGCACAGCACAGCAAAAAAAAAAAAAAAAAAAAAAAAAAAGGAATGGAGTTCTGACACCTGCTATACCATGAATGAACCTTAAAGACATGATGTGACATCACAGAAGTCAGTCACAAAAGACCACATGTTATGTGATTCCATTTATATGAAATGTTCAGAATAGGTGAATCCATAGAGGCAGAAAGTAGATTAGTGATTGTCTAAGGCTGGGGAGAAATGGGAAACTTTGGGGTATGCTTAAAGGGTACAGATTTCTTTTGGGGGTGATGAAAATGTTCTAAAATTGATTGTGGTGATGGTTGCACAACACACGGCTTGTGGGATCTTAGTTCCCTGGTCAGGGATTGATCCCGGACCTGGCAGTGAAAGCGAAAGCACCAAGTCCTAACCACTGAACCGCCAGGGAATTCCCATCACTGTGAATATTCTAGAAACCATCACTACTTTCCCAGCTACTCTCCCAACCTGGTTGAGGGCCTCTGTTCTGCTGCCCGCATTCAACCTTGCATCTACCCTGAGGCAGCTTTCAGGGAAATGTAGGACACAACAAGCAGGCTGTGAAGGACGAGAAAAGCCAGATGTGGGGTTGGGTCCTGGAGGCTGATGGTAGCTTGGAAGGGGAGGGGGAGCCGCCTGGAGAAGCCATCGCATCCCTCAGCCAAGGCCCAAGGGAGCCTCAGGAGAGGATGCAGGGTCTGCCTGCTTCCCTGGGCAGGGGCCTCACAGAGGCCTGAGGCCTCCTGCAGCCTGTAGAGGCCAAAGGCAGAACCTTATGCCTTGTATCTGTGACCCTAACAGTCTGGGATCCAAAGGCTAAAGGCGAAAGGCCAGGGCTGAGTTTATTCTTTGCATGGAAGCTTCTGACCCAGGAACAGGCCGAGCTTGACCCTGATGACAGACTCCATTCTGATCCCAGTGTCATATGTTGAGCCTCAAACTTTGTGTCACAGACTGAGCCTCTAACCCAGTGTCATAGACTGAACCTCAACCTGGTGTCACTGACTGAGCCCTGACTTTGGTGTCATGTACTGACTCCTGATCCTGGTATCATGTACTGACTCCTGATCCTGGTGTCATGTACTGACTCCTGATCCTGGTGTCGTGGGCTGAGCCCTGATCCTGGTGTCATGGACTGAGCCCTGATCCTGGTGTCATGGACTGACTCCTGATCCTGGTGTCATGGACTGAGCCCTGATCCTGGTGTCATAGACTGAGTTCCCATACTAGAGCCACAATCTGAACCCCAACCCTCATCATGTGCTGAACCCTGACCCCAGGTACAGACTGAGCCTTAGTTCTGGTGACAGATTATCTCCTCCAAGCTCCAGACTTTGTCTTCAATGGCCTCTGCCTTTGTCTCCAGTGGTGACTGCCTGATATTCCCACCTGCACTCCAGTCTCAAGCTGTCAAGGCCAAACTCCTTGCTTTCCTTCCTCCTTCTGTGTCCCCATATCAGTGTGACTGCACCGTCTTCCCAGTGACCCTGCCAGAGACCCGGAGATGAGCCTTGCCTCCTTACTACCCCTCAGGACAGCAAGCCCTGTCAATTTCACCTCCACGACATTTCTCTACTCCATCCTCTTTTCTTTTTGCCTCTGCTACTATCTTAATGTCAACCTCCATTATAGCTCTTTCTACACAACCACAGCTCTTGTTGGGATTTTCCTGCACAAACAATTGCCAACCACAATTGGCTTCTTCTGTTGCAGTAGCTGGTATGTCTTCTTGGCATGACATTTCGGAGAGTCACCCCCCTTCCTCTGGTCCTTACCCCTAGACTCCCCTTAGAACGACATTCGAGCCCTTTTCAGTCTACCCTCTCAACTCCCCACACACACCTGAGCCCCTAACTCACTATTCTCCTGTGTGCCTCTGTGCTGTTCCCACCACCCTTTTCCACTCTTCCTGCCTTGGCAACCAAGAACTTTCTCTGATCCTCTGCAGACTGTCTTAGCCAGAAGACTTTGAATTCGTCTGCACCCCTTTTCTACTCCCTGTTGTATTTTAACTGGCTTACTTGCTCCCTTCTAGACCAGGAGTTTCACAGGCCAAATCTGACTCAACACCTGATTTTGTAAATAAAGTTTTAGTAGCACACGGCCACACCCATTCGTGTACGTATTGTCTGACTGCTTTCATGCTACAACTGCAGAGTTCAGTAGTTGTATCAGAGACCATATGACCTGCAAATCTGAAGACACTTACTCTCTGGCGTTTTACAGAAAAAGTTTGCTGTCCCCTGCTCCAGATTGTGAGGCAAGTTCTGTATCCAACCCACTTTTACACCCCCAAGTCCCAAGTGGTAAAATCTTATGTGTGTTGATCAGTTTCAATATGCCTTGCCTTGTGCTAAGCCCGTCATGTTCTCTGCATTCTTCTATCCTCACAACAACCCTCTGAGTCCCCACATTATGGAAGGGGAAACTGAGGCTCAGAGAGATGTACTGACTCATCCAAGATCATACTGGACTGGCAAGAGGCAGAGCTGGGATGTGAACCCAGGTATTTCTTGCTCCAAAGCAAGGGCTCACAACCACAAAGCTATCCTGTGGTGAGCAGATGAATGGATAGATGGGTGAATATATGGTTGGATGGAAGCATGGATGGTTGTATGGATGAATGAATGAATTATTGAATAGATGGACGAGTGGTTGGATAGTTGGCTAGCTGGCTGCCTGGCTGAAGGGAAAGTTGTCTGGCTGGGTGGTTGGATGAATGGATGGTTAAATAAATGGATGGATGGGTGGTTAGATGGAGGAATGGATGCATCGATGCGTGGATGGATAGTTGGCTGGCTGGCTGGTTGGATGGTTGGATGAGTAGATATTTCGGTGGATGAATAGGTGGGTGGTTAGGTGGATGGATGGTTAGATGGATGGACGGGTGGATGGATGGATGCATGGATATGTGGATGCATGGATGGATAGTTGACTGTCTGTCTGGTTGAACAGATGAATGGGTAGGTGGTTGGATGGATGGATGAGTAGATGTTTAGATGGACGAATGGATGGATGGATGTGTGAGTGCAGGGATGGATGAATGGGTGGATAGTTGGGATAAGTGGTGTGTCAGTGTCCAGTGGCAGTGATGTATTACTTGGTATTCTGAGGGGATGAAGAGGGGGGAAACGTAGATAGAAAGAGGCAGAATTGTGGCAGAGAAGCCAGGCCAAGAAGGAAACCAAGTTGAGACACAGAATGCACACATTATATATACACTTATTATGTACTAGGGAATGAGTGAAAAAGTATGGCTGAAATGGGTAATTGAGCACCTGAGGAGAAGGGCCAGTGGGGTTCTGCCCCAGGGAACTTCCTGCAGGTCCCAACCCCCCTTCCCCAGTCTTGTCTGCCTCTCCAAATCCACTCCATTATCTTCCCAGGAGGTCCCATCTGGTGCCCATACAGCAAGTTACAGAGGTTAAGAAGGGCACAGAAAGGCGAAAGAATGAAAGGACTCGGTTAGGGAGACCCTCTCTGCGCCCCACCCCCATGCTTCTCGCTAAGGAGCCGCCTCTCAGCCTGTATTCAAGTTCTAGGCAGCCTCTTCCAACAGCAGCCCTGCAGCATCAGCCATAAAAGGGTTTAAGAGTTACCACTGGTTCCCACAGCTCACTCCCCAACCTGTCGGCCGATAAGTCACAGCTTCAACCTTCCCGGGCAGGGAGACAGGGTGGGCTGGGCGGCCAGGAGTGGGTAGACCTTCATAAGGATCTGGGTCCCAGGTGGGATCCGTGGCTGATACCCTAATTCTCTAACATTGCCAACCACTGGTGGATTAAAAAACCCTCCCCAAGCCCTCCAGCTGCCCACACTGGTAGCTTTGTTCACTGGTCAGAACATACCACAGAGGCAGCCTTGAGACAGACCTGCTTTCAAATCCTGGCTCCTTCAGCATGTACTTGCTGTGTGACGCTGAGATCATCACTCCACCGTTCTGAGCTGAACCTCACAAGGGCTCAATAACTGGCAGCAATTTCCACCATTACGACTGCTCTTCTGTTGCATCTCAGTCCGCACGCCACCGTCTCCCTCCCCAGCCCCAGCCTCCAGGTCCCCCCATATTCTCCATATTCCAGTCTTCTCCAGCACAGCGCCTGGCACACGACAGGTCCTCAACCAGAGTGTATGTAATGGACAAGCTAATGAATCTTCTTATTGGCTGCTCTCCTGCATGGAAACTCATTCATGAACAAGTACTTGGCTTATGCAGGGGGTACAGGGGGCTCCTATCACACTATCCCCCACGCCCCATGGCCTTGGACACCATCTGGCTATCAGCCAGGACTAAACTCCTGCCGAGATTTAAGAAATGCCTTTTTGCAAAAGCAATTTGCCCAGACCTTGTGGGATATGATACAAGGGTCTCTCCAGCCGCCACGTAGTAAACTGAAGTCCTGGGACCCAGGGAGCGCCCAGCCAATGTGTGTGTGTGTGTGTGTGTGTGTGTGTGTGTGTGTGTGTGTTCTAGGGAGGCGTCTACCAGAATTTCTGGAAGTCTCAAACCTCCTTCCTTTTGCTGCCTCTCTGAACCTCTGTCCTGCAGCCATCAGGGAACAAATCGCGTCAGGAGCTCCCAGGAAGCCACCAAGCTACCACAGTTCTAGGGTGGATTCTCCTTCTACAGATTTACCTCCCGAAACAAGTCCCTGGCTGAGCCTGGGGACACGTTTCCTCTGAGACAAGAGGGACCCCACAAGTCTGTGATGTTCTGTTGGGGTCCCAGGAAACCAGAGATCATGAAATTTGGGGCTGGCTCAGGCAGACTCTGTGCCCCTGGGCTGAGGAAAGGCTTGGGGTGGGATGGTGGGCAGGCTGTCCAGGGAGCCCTGCCTGGGTGTCCGGTACCCACTGCTCGCTGCCTGCCCCCTTACCTCTCTTGAAGGCCCACCGCTTCAGCCAGCGCTTGGAGAGGGCCGGCCAGGAGTGGTTGAGTGCTGAGCTAGCCATGGGGGCCGTGTGTGCGAGCATGTGAGTGAACAGCAGGATGAGGAAGGCGATCGGCTGGGAATATCTGCCAGGACGGGGCTGCCAGCAAGCGGGGCGGAGACTGTCTGCAGGGGCTGCCAGATGCATCAGCTGATGGGAGCTTGGGGCTGGGGCAGGGGGGCCCCGGGGACTCCAGCCTTGGGGGAGGCCAAGTCCTTAGTACTAACCCTCACCTCCCCTGCCCTATAGGCTTTTCACCCTGGCTGGACAAGACATTCCCAGGGGGAGCTGAAGGGTGCAGTGAGGGGTCCTCAGAAAACAAGTATAGACTGGGTCCCGAGGTGGACCTGGGTACGCATGAATGTCTGAGTGTTTGTGTGTGTGTGTGTTTCATTGTCTCTGTGCTTTTGACAGTGTATTTGTGTGTTAGCACAGAGTGTGTATTTTCGAGTCTTGAGTGTCAACTTGTCTATGGGGGTGTGTGTATATAAGCATTTTAGGGTTTTCTTTTCCCGGTTTCACTGCGATATAATTGACATCCAGCACCGTGTAAGTTAAAGGTGTAGAGCATAATGACTTGACTTACATATACGGTGAAATGATTACTACAGTAAGTGTAGTTAACTTCCATCATCTCATACAGATATACCAAAAAAAAAAAAAAAGAGAGAGAAAATAATGTTTTGTTGTTGTTGTTCTGAGGAGAAAATTCTTAGGATTTACTGTCTTAGCAACTTTCAAACACACCATGCAGCAGTGTTAACTATAGTCACCATGCTGTACATTACATCCCCAGGACTTATTTATCGTATAACTAGAAGTTGGTACATTTTGACCCTCTTTATCCAATTCCCCCACCCTCACCCCCTGCCTCTGATAACCACAAATCTGATCTCTTTTTCTATGAGTTTGGTGGTGGTGTTTTTTTTAAAAATTTAATTAATTAATTAATTTGTTTATTTATTTATTTTTGGCTGTGTTGGGTCTTCGTTGCTGTGTGCGGGCTTTCTCTAGTTGTGGAGAGCGGGGGCTACTCTTGGTTGCAGTGCGTGGGCTTCTCATTGCGGTGGCTTCTCTTGTTGCGGAGCATGGGCTGTAGGTGCGTGGGCTTCAGTAGTTGTGGCGCGTGGGCTCAGTAGTTGTGGCTCGTGGGCTCTAGAGCGCAGGCTCAGTAGTTGTGGCCCACGGGCTTGGTTGCTCCATGGCGTGTGGGATCTTCCCAGATCAGGGCTCGAACCCGTGTCCCCTGCATTGGCAGGTGGATTCTTAACCACTGTGCCACCAGGGAAGTCCCTGGTGGTGGTGGTTTTTTTTTTAGATTCCACATCTAAATGAGATCACACAGTATTTGTCTTTCTCTGTCTGACTTATTTCACTTAGCATAATGATCTCAAAGTCTATCCATGTTGTTACAAATGGCAAGATTCCCTTCCTTTTCTTATGGCTGAATAATATTATCCACACAGTTTTAAAAATCTCTGTGGTCCTGTGTGTGTGTGTGTGTGTGTGTGTGTGTGTGTGTGTGTGTGTGTGTGTATCTGAATGCCCATCAGTATCTGTGGGGTTGCATCTACATGACTCATCTGGGACTTGGGGAGATCTGAATCTGGTATTTGTGGGGGGTTTTGTGTCTGCCTGGGTTTCTTTGTGTCTACTTTTGTGTCTTTATCTCTGTGTGCATCTGTGTGGGTGCCAGCCAGCGCCTGTCTGTACAAGTGCTGCCCCCTGGTGGTTGAAGCCTCCTTACTTGGATTTTCACTAATGTCTGAAAAATTCCTGGCTGTCCCTTCTCTCTTCAGTGAACTCTCAGCCTCCACCGACCCTTCTCAAAGGGTTAGCCACAAGTCTGTCTTTACCTACTCGACTCCATCATCCACTTATTTTATTTTATTTTATATTTTTTGCGGTACGCGGGCTTCTCACTGCTGTGGCCTCTCCCGTTGCGGAGCACAGGCTCCGGACGCGCAGGCTCAGCGGCCATGGCTCACGGGCCCAGCCGCTCCGCAGCATGTGGGATCTTCCCGGACCGGGGCACGAACCCGTGTCCCCTGCATCGGCAGGCGGACTCTCAACCACTTTGCCACCAGGGAAGCCCCACTGAAGTCTTTTTTCCATCCCCTCCAGTCTTCTAGCTCTCTCGGGGGCTAAATCTAATGGGCGCTTTTCAGTTTCCCCTTTACTGGACAAGTATGACCACTTTCTTCTTGAAATCCATTCCTCTCATGCCTTTTCTTCTTCTGTCTGCTCCTTCTCAGTCTCCCTTCCTGACTCGGCTCCTCTTCCTGTCTCTGCCTGACCTTTAAACTCTGTGTTCCCAGGGCTCTGTCCTTAGCCACTTCATGGTCTCCCCACTGGCCTTGGTGACCCCATCTGCACTTCTCTCATCACTTCCGCTATCCTATTATGAGTAGGTGGCCTCCAAATCTTTCACTCACAAAAAGACATACAAACACACACTCTATACACCAACACCATCCAATACACTTCCCAGTGCATGTAGACAATGGCAAACACACACACGCAAATAGTCAGACATATGTTCACACACACACAATTATACACAAACAGCCAGATACATACATAGAAATCCAGATAACAGCTCAGGGAGATTTAAAAAATCACCTACTCTGCTGTGCTCCAGGGTTTAATTCCTCATCTCCCACCACATACTTTTCCCTGGACAGACTACAAATGCCTCTTGGATCTTCCAGACCTTTGGGTGGAGAGCAGATGTGAGAACTTCAGGGAAATTAAAAGCAGTGAGAAGCCAAGAGGGACCTCCATCAAACTGATGGCAACAAAGACAGGGACCCAGGAGCCCAGAAACAGAGAAACACAGTGAGTCAAGCACAGTTAGCAATGGAGGCTTGATAAAAATCTTGTGTTAAAAATACAACAGGGATACCTATTTCTAATGATGGCAGGCTACCTTATTGCAGATTTACCTTTCCACCAGGGTAAATCCAACTAAAAAATCTGGATAAAATCAGAAGAAAAAAAAAAAAACACCCTCAATTTGAAGGCGTTGGCAGCCAAGGTTTGAGGTGTCAGAATCCTAGAGAGGTGAGGTAGACATAATGCAATGCTGGGTGTTTTTTTTCCTTACAAGCAAATTGTTGATATAAATGCAGTTCTTAAGTGTGAAGCAGACCAGAAAGGGGCTGAGAAAGTGAGTGTAGCTTCTGGCAATCTTCTGGGGCTGGAGAAATAGACATTGGAAGTCAGGGCTCACAAAGAGGAGAGAGCTGGGGTCACCGAAGACTATACCCTAGGAGCAAGGGGAGACCAGAAATGGACCAACCTTCACCCAGACCAAAATCCAGCTTCAAGTCAGCTTAACCCCTGATTAAAGTCACCTGCTTTTACTTTCACTATCTTCCAGAAGCAGAAAGTAAAACCTCTCTGGAGGGAAATAACACCATAAAGAACCACCCATGATATCTACAGTTTTTCATAAACACTATCAGGCATTCAATCAAACTTGAATTACAACAGAAGATAGAATCTCGTGACCTAAAATCAGAAGAAAAACCGACAATAGCAACAGACCCACAGAAGACACAGATAACTGCAGTGAAAAGTACAGCAGAATGTGGCACAGGGATGGGTTGGTCTGGTGTAAAACATCACGGGGAAGGGATATTTCCAGGTATCCTCTCCACAGGCAGCATCAAGGGTACTCACTTAGTGGAAAGTTCTGATATACAGCCATCCCTTGGTACCTGCATGGGATTGGTTCCAGGACCTGCGGTGAATACCACAGTCCTCAGATGTTCAAGTCCCATAGCTGGCCCTCCGCGTCTATGGATTCCACCAACCGCAGATCATAAACATAGCACATGATCCGCAGTTAAATGAATCCACAGGTGCAGAACCTGTAGGTACGGAGGGTTGGCTATGTAGTGAGTAGAAGTGGGAGGTGACCTCTACTGTGGTTAACCCCCCAATTTCTCTTATTTCACCAGGGCCAGAGTTGACCATGGTGTTGCTTGAGTACTAGGTTAGGAACCAGTGGTTCCCACCTTGAGCTGTCGAGCTGATGGTGATGTTGTGGAGAGGGGAGGAAGGCTGGGTGGATTTGCATGTGTGGGAGTCGTTGGAGGCAGAGGGCCAAGTGACCTTGAATGTCTCAGGTTAAAGTGTTCTGATTTTCTTGTGTGTCTGTGCCAGAAGGAGGCTCTGATGGCATCTACCACTTGGATTGCCTCCTCTAACCTGACGCTAGTTACTGTGAGTTGTAAATAGCCCCTTGGCCTGCCAAAGGGTGGTCTTCTGGTCCTGGATGGTAATTGTAGAAAGAGCTGGTGGAGAGTTTGAATGGAGGTGCAGGGTATGGAATGTGTTCCATCTTTTTTCTTAAAGATTCTTCTTTTTGATGTGGACAATTTTCTAATTTTAAAAAAATTTTTTATTATTATTATTATTTTAAAATTTATTTTATTTATTTTTGGCCGCCTTGGGTCTTCGTTGTTGTGCGCGGGCTTTCTCTAGTTGCGGCTAGCGGGGGCTACTCTTGGTTGCGGTGCGCAGGCTTCTCATTGCGGTGGCTTCTCTTGTTGAGGAGCACGGGCTCTAGGTGAGTGGGCTTCAGTAGTTGTGGCGCATGGGCTTAGCTGCTCTGCGGCATGTGGGATCTTCCTGGGCCAAGGATCAAACCCGTGTCCTCTGTATTGGCAGGTGGACTGTTAACCACTGCACCACCAGGGAAGTCCCTGGACATTTTTTTTTTAAGTCTTTATTGAATTTGCTACAATATTGCTTCTGTTCTATGTTTTTGGCTTTTTGGCCACGAGGTATGTGGAATCTCAGCTCCTGACCAGGGAATAGAACCCATACCCTCCCCCGGAATTGGAAGGCGAAGTCTTAACCACTAGACCACCAGGGAGGTCCCAGAATGTGTTCCATCTTGATAGAAGTATCTGCCATCTTGGCAAGGATAGCTTCCATATTGGTGAGGGCATCTATCATCTTGGTGAGAGTCTCCACCATTTTAGTGAGGTCCTTTACCATCTTGCTGATGGTGACTACCATCTTGGTAAGGGTACCCTTGGTAAGAGTACTCTCTTGACACAATGGTGTCCTGAC